ACAAAGGAAGCGTATTAATTGTCACTTTAAAATAACGACGGTTAAAGATGATGGAGAGCAATAACGACAATGGTAAATATAATCCATTCTTCCTGATGGATTCCCTACCTAAGTTTACGGGGGATGATATGACGTATTACTCTGCAAAATGGACGCAGGATATTGAAGACAACGCAGATATTTTCGGATGGAACCAACTACAACGGCTAATTATCGCGCGGAGGTGCTTGGCTGGTATTGCAAAATTATGGCTGAAGACGGAAAAAGCATTTAAAACTTATGATGAATTTAGAACGGCTCTGATGAAGGAGTTTCCTGATACTATAAATTCCAAACAAATGCATGAAATGATGAGTAATCGGAAAAAGCAGGCTAATGAAACGGTTTATCAATACATGCTTGTCATGAAAGAATTGGAAAAAAGGGCTAAGTTTGCAGACTACGTCACCATACAGTATATAGTCGATGGCATAAACGACTACGAAAAAAATGTAAAAATAGGTAATTTCGTGACGAACTGTTTAATTGATACGGGTAGTGATTTAAACTTAATAACTTTGAATTTCTTTTCTAAATTAAATATTGGATATACACCTGTCAGAATGTTGCTTACCGGGTTGGGTTGTTCACAAGTATTTTCAATGGTAAATTCGACACGGAATTAATTATCGACGATCACCATTACAATATTAATTTTTATATTGTACCAACTAATGTAATGCCACATGATGTAATATTAGGTCAACCATTCTTAGTAAATACTGTTACGGTTATAGACAAAGGTGCCGTTGAAATTAGGCCTCCATGTTACGATAGTTTATATCAAAATGCTATATATCTTTTTTCCAGTAATGATGACCAATGTAGTGCGGTAAAAGATATTATAAATGATTACGTACCTTTGAAGACCAAAGATGCACCCATTAGGCTGAAAATTGTTCTAAAAGATGATATTCCAGTTACACAACGGCCTAGAAGATTAGCTTTAACCGAAGAACTATTAGTGAAGCAGCAAGTTGATGATTGGTTGAAGATGGGCATCATTCGTCCTAGTTATTCTGAGTATGCAAGTCCCTTAGTATTGACAAAGAAAAAAGATGGCAGTGTACGAGTTTGCGTAGATTATCGAAAGATAAATCAGAAAATGGTGAAAGACGAACATCCATTACCTGTAATCGACGACCTTATTGACAAATTGAGTAGAGTGAATGTGTATAGCACACTCGATTTAAAAAATGGCTTTTTCCACTTACCAATTGAAGAAGAGTCGGTGAAGTATACATCATTTGTAACGAGTAACCCTGAAGGCCAGTATGAATTTTTAAGAGCACCGTTTGGTCTTTCTATCTGTCCTAAATACTTTACAAGATACATTAACATCATATTTGCGGATTTTATAAGAACGGGAGTGGTTTTGATATTTATTGACGATATAATTATTATTATACTTTCAAAAGATGAAAAAGAGGGAATTGAACGACTTAAAGCTTTGCTGAAGGTGGCAGCGGAGTATGGGCTCGAAATAAATTGGAAAAAGTCACAAATACTACAAAGATCTGTTGAATTCTTAGGCTACCAATGGAACGATAAGACCATCTAGTGAGAAAACAAAGGCTGTTATGACCTTTCCAGTGCCTAAAAATTTGAAAGAACTGCACAGCTTCATAGGATTAACTTCGTACTTCAGGAAATTTATTCAAAATTATGCTTTAATAGCGAAGCCATTAAGTGATTTATTGAAAAAAGGTGAGTTTAAGTTTGAGGATGTTCAAAGACAAGCTTTTGACGAATTAAAGTCAAAATTATGTTGTGAACCAGTGTTGAAAATATTTGATGTTCATTTGGAAACTGAATTACATACAGATGCTTCTATGCATGGATATGCAGCTATTTTAATGCAACGAGACCCTAATGATGGTTGTCAACATCCTGTTCACTACATGAGCAGAAAGACTACAGAAGTTCAACAAAAGTGTTGCAGTTACGAGTTAGAAGCTTTAGCTGTTATTGAAGCCGTGAAGAAATTCAGAAGATATCTTATAGGAATACCCTTTAAAATTGTCACTGATTGTGAAGCCTTTCAAAAAACCTTGAACAAAAAGGATGCATCTGCAAAAGTAGCACGATGGATACTATACTTACAGGATTTTCAGTATTCTATAGAACATAGAACAGGAGACAAGATGCAACATGTTGACGCATTGAGCAGAAACATTTGTTTTGTTGATGTTGAGTTACATGCGAGAATAAAGAAGGCACAAGAAGAAGATGAAGGGTTAAAGATTATCAGAAAACTATTAGAAAAGAATGGATATGAAGATTATTTTTTAGAGAATGATGTTATCTATAAAGGACCGGAGAAGAAATTGGTATTACCTGATATGATGGATATGGAAAAAAGCCCATGGAATTGGACATTTCGGGAAGAAGAAGATTAAGGATATAATAGAAAAAGATTATTACATTACAAAACTAGACAGTAAAATCGATAAGATTGTTTCTACCTGTGTACCCTGTTTATTAGCGAGTAGAAAGTCTGGTAAGAAAGAAGGCTTTTTAAATCCAATTGATAAAGGAGAATTACCACTGGATACTTTACATTGTGATCATTTAGGGCCATTAGATGCAACTAAGAAAATGTATAACTACATACTTACTGTAATTGATGGATATACAAAGTTCGTCTGGATTTATCCTGTTAAGACTGTGGCAGCAAAGGAAACCGTAGAAAAGTTAAAGTTGCACCAGAAAGATTATGGTAACCCACGGAAAACCATTACTGAATGTGGAGTAGCTTTTACAGGGAATGAATTTCAAGAGTACTGTCAAGAGGAAGGCATTAAACATATCACTATTGCCACTGGAATACCACGCGGAAATGGTCAAGTTGAAAGGGTGAACAGAGTTATTATTTCTACTTTAACAAAGATGTGTATAGAAGAACCAGGCCATTGGTATAAGCATGTGAGTAAGCTTCAAAGAGTCATTAATAGCACATATCAACGATCAATTAACACAACACCTTTTGAATTGTTAACGGGAGTGAAACTTAAGATGAAAGAAGATTTATCTATTATGGAATACTTAGAAGAGGAAAGCAGAATCGAATTTATGAGTAGAAGAGATGAAACAAGAAGAGAGGCTAAGGCACAAATATTAAAGATCCAAGAAGAGAATAGAAAGACATATAACAAAAGACGTAAAGAAGGAGAGAAGTACAAGCAAGGTGATCTAGTTGCTATACAACGTGTACAGTTTGGAACTGCATTAAAATTAAAACCAAAATTCATACCATATCGAATTACAAAGGAGTTGGGAAGGGGTAGGTATGAGGTAGAGAAAATAGACAGAGGTAAAGAAGGGCCGATAAGAACTACATCAGCTTCAGATTATATGAAGAGATGGCCTTGATACAAATTGTTTTTTTTGACCGATTAAGTAATTGTTTTTGTAATTTTGTATTTTTTAAACATCTACTAAAACTGCCTAAACTACCTGTGGTTGTAAAGGAATAAGCTAATTAGTGTTGTTATTTTTTTTTGTTGTATGTTTAAACACTTATGTCTATGAAGAAGGAAAAAAAATGTTAAGTACTTAGTATAACTGTGGTAAAGTAGCTTCAGTCTGAGGCCAGACTGATTTGCAGAATGGCCGAGTTGTAGGATTAATTATTTAATAGTTGAGTAAAAGATGATTTTTGAACGAAGTATTGTGTGAATGAGAAGGATGGATGACGTAAAAGGGATTGAGGGACTTTTTCGCAACGACGCCACGAACGAGTAACGTGTATCTGTGTCTTAAAATGTATTAATTCAAATAAAGATGAAAATAGTAACAATATACTCAAAATAAAGATTTTATTTATCCTACGCCTATATATATATCATATAATATTATTGTTTTCAAACTTCCGCAGAATGTTTATTTAACATTTTGTTAATGCTAATTTAAATTGACTAAATAAATGACCAATAAATAAAAACAATTTTTTTATTTTTTTAAATATTTTCGTTTTATTGTCGACTTTTGGACCGTTGGACGGTTGGAATAGTCCACGTAATTGGCCGTGATTCGTTAATCCACTGACACAACGAATAATAATGATATGGTAATTTTCCAATACACTTGTTTAAAATGCCCAGAAAAGCAAATTTAAAAAATCGTTGGCACTTCAATCATATTACAATTTGTGGAACACATAGATGGTATTGCCCATGAGCGTTGCGTAGTTTATGTGGTAACATTAAAAATAATCGTCTCATAAAATTTGACCGATCGGTATTGCGGTCACGTAATTAGCTCTTGCAAGTGACAGATTCGGCGAAATGAAATATAGTTGAAGAGGGTATGTGAGGAAACGAGTTTGGTGGGCCGGCGCACTGGCGTGGCGGTGGTAACGAGGCCGCGATGACACACGTCTAACGGTAATTCGATTTTTAAGCGGCCTAACAGTGCGGGCAGGTGTGCCCGAAAGGAAAATCCCGACCTTACTATTCAAAAGCTATGTGCTCTTAGTACCCGCCACTTATGTACTATCTGTACCACTTCAAGATTCATCAGATGAGAGATTACGATGTGATTGAATACCTCGATAGTTTATTACAACACGTTGAAGTATAGGCGACTGTTCCGAATCACTGCAATCGTAAATCAGACGGATTACATAACGTATGAATCCAGTATTATGTATGCCGTTATGCAAATTACTGAATAGATAAAAAACCAGTCAGCCTTAAAAATAAACGAAAATGCATCCACTTTCTTCGTTCGCGTGGATCCGTTTTCAATGAAACCGTGCTATAACTTGCCCTTTGACTGTAAGTCGTCCTATTTTCTTAAGCTGCGGTTAAGGTGGAGACAGATAACTCGGTAATATTATGGCGGCAGAGGATGTCGCAAGCAAGACGCCGTCGCGCGGTGCTACACAATAATATTAAACATGTGCGCTGACGAGTGCTTTCAATTGATATATTTTCGAAACCGGTCTTGGTTTTCATAACATGCTCGGTGCGATGATGGCCAGTCATGCTCAGCTGTTAGTCTGGAACCGCCCATATTCGTTTTGTGCAACGAACTCGTTACGGTTCAGACTTGATTTGGTACGATGGTGTGCCTACATACAAACTGTAATTTGTTTAAATTATCGGTCTAATTTGAGGTAAATTAAATTATATTTAAAGACCCAACAGTAATTATGTAACTGAAGCATCTTCAAGTAATTTGTATAGATGCTTGATAAGAAAACCCCCTACTTAGGTAGAATCACTGTAAAAAAAAATAATCAATAGTTAATACTATAAACAGTTAATATTATTATTTATAGTTAAGTAAGCAGACAAACTTATCGCAGGACCTGGATATGATTGTGCAGGGATACCGTGGCGCAGAGGGAGCTTAGTGCCAAAACAGTTGTGTCTTTTTGCAGCATTTTATACGTGATTAACGAAAGTATGACATAGGCGTTTGAGCGAAACGGATGGCCTACTTCGGCGGTACGAAGCCCAGAAATCAATCCGATGACCTGGTCGGAGGCTGCGCACGATTCGCTGCCCAGCAGTAAATGTCATGTGCACTGTCCAATACGTATTGCATAAAGTTTTCACAAAAATGAAGCAATGAATGGCCTCTTTATTTAAATGTTAATATGATATTATAAGTGAAAAAGTTTTTACACAATTATGAAATCTTGAAAGAGACTAAATAATTCATCGTGTCAGTAATAATCGTTGGACCGTCAATTACGTTTTTTTTTCAATAATTTTGGTTACCAAGGTCGTTCTGTATAAACGGTCAACCTCGCAAACCTAATGTAAATCGATTGACATGCTTTTTAAGCGACCCAGTACTCGCGTGACGGATATTTTCAGCGTAATGGCCGCATTGACGTAAATTAATAACTAAAAACACTCGAGCAGTTTTACTAAATCTTTCTGTTAATTGATCAAAAACATTATTTATTTAAGCAAACCAAAATGTTTGATGTTTATTATGTTTAAAATAATTGACAGCAATAACTACCGACTTTTTATTTCAGTTTCTGTATAAAAGTATAGTTTACATCATACTCAAAACGACTTACAGGCCTGATTAAGGAAAATTATGTCTGTTACATTATTTTCCTTATAACTTAAATAATTTTCGTTAGCTAACAAAGGTCACCAGCAACTGAAATCTTAGGACACTTAGCTGCAATCGAAAATGAAGGCAAGTTTGTTATAAAATTATACTTAGTTACAAAACAAATGAGTCTAAAATCTCACGTTACATGATTTCTTTCGTTAGAGTCGAGATATTGTTTATTATCAACAAAGGTCGTCTGAACGAAAACAAAAAGAATGTTGAGGTTCATTGTTTTTGAACAAAGCGTGTGAACCCAGAGTTGAAAGTGTGCGTCTGACAACGATGCTGCAGCTACAAATGTCGCATGAGTTAATCTAGAATTATGAATTTTAACCGAACGTTAAATACGCATCAATATCAGGCTTTTGATTTCTAATAGCATTAATCCGTTTTGCAAAAAGTTTAACGTTATTTCAATGCCGCTCTTTGCTTATTTTTGATATGGTTGTTAGATTCTTAGTTTGGGTTCTCCAGCAGAGCCATTTTATTTATTATGGGGTAATCCGTGGATGTTGTCAATATTATGTGGCGATGGTGTGATGTGGATTTACGGATACAGCTTGTGAACTCCTCTGATTTTGGATTAACTAAAACTATTATAGCCTAGATTTGTATAGCTGTGTCAAATATTTTAAACAAAAACACACGCGAAGTTCGCGATATTATAAATAAAGTAACAGCCTGTAAATGTTCTGCTGGGCAAAGGCCTCCTCTGTACAGAGGGTATCAGGGCATAGTCCACCACGCGGCCTACTGCGGATTGATGGAATTCACATATTTCTGAAATATTTTTTTTGTTATCATTTCGAAAATATGCAGGTTTCCTCACGATGTTTTCCTTCACCGCCAAGCACGTGATAAGTCAGCACTTAAAATTAACAATTTCATTGGTACTGGCACCAGGGATCGAACCCAGGTTGCACGAGTAAATTTATTTAAAGGCGAGCGCCCGGACACCGAGCTATCACGGCGCGATATAATAATTTCATAAATATAATATGTTTCATTTCGGTAATAGCAGTTTTTGTAATCATCTTGGAAATTTTACACATAAAAGTAATTTATTCATGTTGCCACATTGTCTTTGTTTACTATTAGTTGAGATAATTGGATAGGCGCATTGGCATCATTATTGCTATTCTAAATGGATGTTAAGAAGAAAGTTTCCGTTCATTGTTTACTCCATTAAGTAACACTGATGATGTTTCCTTAATGACGTGACAAGACAAATGCCTTGTTTAGCCTCGCCGGTCATCTCGTGCCTAATGTTAACTTAAAAAGAATCCTGGTTCTTTACCTTATTTTTTTTTCTATTGAAAGGCATAACTATTTGGTAATAACAAGTTAAAATATAAATCTTGCAAAATCCATATTAAGACCGGCATCATTCATCTCCTTTGAAATAGTTTAAAACGTTGAAATATTTCCTGCTATTTAAAAAGGTTTTACATACGTTCGTTTGCAAGTAATTTGTACATTGTTCGTTTAAAGATTCAATTAGATGCGTCCGTGTAACTAGACAGACGGGGTGTAATTATTTACTTTGCGCAAAAGCGGCGTAGGGGGCCTTGTTTCCACATCTGGTTCTGACTGCACAGGAATGGTTCACCCGTGCAATGTAATGTTTTATACTGCGCATACGATTTTGTATTTTTGAGTTAAAATTACACAAATGTTGTACTCCGATAATACATAACTATTATTTGATTTTTCTATGTTTGATTTTGGGTTTCTCCTAAAATGATGAGAGATGGTAAGTGAATACCGCCGCCCAAGGACATCTGCTACACCCGAGCGTTACAGATGCGTCGACAACCTTTTGAAAATTGGGCTCCGGCTACCTCACTCATCAGACGAAACGCGAAAGTATTTGTCATACTTCCACTTTACGCTGGTCTTCTGTGAGGTCGTGGTACTTACCCGGACGGTCCTGCCCATGCGTGCAACAGCCGAGTCTGCTGCGTGGCTCTGTCACCGTAAAGTAACAACCTATAACGTTTGTATTGCTGTATACATACAAGCAATAACTAATACAGCCCCTGCGCGGATTAGCGGACGTCATGTGTGTTGAAACGTTAAACGTAAAAATTCGGTTAATTTCTTACACATTGAGTTTTCTCACGATGCTCTTCCTAATGGTCGAGGATGTGATAAATTGCGCCTAAAATTGCTTTTAATGGTGTCAGAGATTGGATTCAGGTTGTTGGCGGATTATGTAATTGAATTTACACGGTTGGCGTTTGCTCCAAGTTTCTAAGAGAGGAGGCTCTCTCCCCATCTCTCTATTTTTGTTTCATTTTAAGTGTATTGAAATGCGTTTTAAAAGACACCGTTTATATTTAAGCAGATTTCATAGAGCAAACGTTAACAGACAGAGTCGCCTAATGTTTTAAACCTAAACGAATTGTTTTGCCGCTATTTCGTATTTTTTTTAGGTCAGCTGGTGAACTTCTAAACATCATCAACAAGGATAGCATACTCGCTACGTTCGCACCACAGTGGTTCCGCGACAACTATTACAAAGCTGTAGTTAGGTCACCAAATGTGCGGCCGTCACAGATAGCGGCGGGATCAATTCGGCTGCGGCCGCATCTCGTGGGTCGAACTGGAGTAGTAGGACGGATTAGGATAAACCGAGTCAATGGCCGGGTCACGTGGCTATTTGCGTTCTACCACGCCCCCCACCCCGTCGCCCGCGGCTGCCCCTCCCTCACCGCCCTTGCCCAAACTACCCGCGCCCTGCGCTGCGACGCAATTTATTTCGGTAACATATCTGTTTACGTTTTATGCCACATAAAAGCCCTTTAAACAGTTGCCGTGTGTTAAGCGTTGACTATATTTTACTTTCATAAATGTGAATGTTCGGCAGTTTCAAAGTGTCGAAACATTACGATTCAACTTTAACGTTACACTGTGTATCATTAATCCATTGTCACACAATATATCTCTCCATGTTTACTTGGATTTTAAATGGGATTTCTTTTCGGTTTAAGTAGAATTATAAACCGATCATCAATAATTCGTTTTACGCGTTCCATTGCCGGTTTCTACCAATGATTAATTAAAGAATTTTTATGGTACGTTTTGTTTTTAAATAAACTCTCCTTGACCGTGTTTATCAAATTATTTTCTAATTTCAAATAAGAATTGCATTGTTGAGTCAAATCTTTGTAGATCGAGTACTGTAAAAAAATATTTTTGCAAAAGTATGAGTGTGAGTTAAAATCAATCAATACATAAAATTCGTACCCTTTCAGTTATAGAACGTACAGATGAATGAACGGATATTGCATTGTTTTAAAAAAGGCTTGGTAATATTTTATTCAGATAAGCCGTTCAGTTGCAAACTGTGTAACGATTTTCTGTTTTGTTTTATGTTATTTTAATTCTATAATAAAATAAAATTGTATCGAAGATTCAAAATAATTCTTTTTTCTTATTTCTAGTAGTCAATTTTACTGTAAAGTAGATGCCTCACTTAAGAAATTATATAAAAAAATCTAACGTCTGGTTTCTGAAACAATCTTTTTTGTTTTGCTGAAATTTGAAAATCCATTTGACAGCTGGATAGTTGACTTCTATGATGATCAGTTTTTCTGAAATCGGTAAGTATAATGGGTGTTAAAACTAAATTTTTCTTTCACTGCTAGTGTGTTGTAAGTTAAGTGAATCTTTAGAGAAATACTTCATCGTTACATTCTTACTCAATTTGAAAGATAAATTCTATTATTCTAGATCCGTCTATCATCTCATGATCTCTCGATCTTCTTGATGACTCGGTGGACGAAGTTGCTCAGTGTTAGATTTTGGTGTCGAGGGCCGTGGATTCGATTCCTACAGATAACTGATCTGGTTTATTCCACTTTTTTTGTATTATTTCTGTGCTATCGCAACGAGCAGTAGAAGTGATGTTTTTCAATTAAAAAAAACCGGTACGGAGTCTAATTAATTTTAATATATTTAAATCCAAGTAATTATCAGTGACAGTTTTATTAGGTAGGTGACAAAATTTTGAAGACTAAGGTTACGATCGATACTCATCTCTCACCATTTTGCATCTAGATATCAGTCAGCTTTCACTAATACGTGGAGCGCGTAGTTATTAACTGTTTTAAGTCAGTGCGGAGATCGCGGGAATTTGCCGGAGCTGGGAAAGGTAATGACGCATTGTTGTTTGAACAATCCACCATCTAATGAGCTAGAGGACTGTATACAACACGTATCATGCGCGATCATTGTACAACGTTTGCTGTAATCGTAGAATCCTCGTCATCTATGTACTTAACTGCATGAACAACGAAGGTTCTTTGGAATTTACGCAATACGAAGACTTAAATAAATCTCAAGAATGATAAACTTCTGTTGGTACTCGTCGAAGCTATAACAGTTACAGTAACAAAGTTTATTTTTCTAATGCGTAATGCGTTGTTATAAGTTCTAGGTCATCCACGCGGTGGCTATAATAGTCCCGCCGGGGTCGCGGAATATTGCCGTGTTCCCGGCCGATGCGACAGAGACAGGTGTAACGGGGGTTTTTAGTGGGTACCCGTTTCGTTCTGGGCCTCCCACATACCCCTGCCACTCCCCTGATCCAGAGGCAGGGGATCCATAAAGGATTTTTCCCAGGGAAAAAAAAGGCTATCGACGCGGTACTAGACACCACGAGAAAGCCTGTCTTAAAGCATGCGCGTGCACTCCAGACACCTCTCCCATACAAACATGCCGCAAGAATTTGAAATATCCTAGTTACAGTAAAGTTATGATATTTTTTGAATTAAACAAACTTAACATCACACAGCCCTTTCAAAGGTGACTTTGGATGTCACTTCAGTGACCTGTTATGTCATCATTAATCAATTACGAGATATTGGTAAGTTTTTTTAGTGCATACCTAATGAAATCACGTAACTGTCGTAAAGATATTTATATCATTGTTTAGTTAAGTTACAGGCCCTAAAAGGGAATCGAACCCAGGTGCGTGATTGTTTGCCAATTAGCCGATTGCCTCACCGTGTATGACATAAAAATATGAATATCGTACATTCGAACTGTATACTCTATATGGGCTTAAGCGGCGAGTGGGTGGCGGTCGGCCGTGAGCCGTCGACTTGCACGATCGGTCCGCCTCGCCCCTGCGCCTCGCTCGTTGCAACATTACACCTAAATAATCACCCATTACAATTTCCATACTACGCGTCCGCAACTCAAGCGAACCATTGGGTTTGCGATTGACCGCCTGTCTGTCGCTCCGTTTGCTGAGACCGCGAAAGCTGCCACTTTTCCCGATAGCTCCGTTGCGATTGAACCTCGATGGCCCGTAGACGACATGCCATAATTAACGCGCGCATGAGTACATGCGCGGCCCCACCCGCTGAGGAGGGCCTCAAACTCGTGGGTTCTGGCTAGCCCATCGGTTCTGCGTTCGATGATGCTTTAACAGTCTAAGTACTGAAAGCGTAACATCAGTTATACAAATACAAATCCCTTGCGATCCCGACATGCGTATTGTGTGCGACCCCTGGGGTGAACGTTCTGCGCGGAGTCGTCGACACGTCCGCGATAATTGCTGTCGCATCGGCGTCTACCTACGATTCACTCGCCCTCCGTCTGAACATCTGTAGGACCCCATCAACTAAACTACCTCTTACTTTGTCGTTTATCCCTAGTTTATGAATGTCGGTACGTTCTCAATTATTGGGCTTTGTAAATCAATCTTATTTGGAGGTAGAGGCCCTCGTATCTCCGTCGCTGCTACAAAGAATAAGGAAAAAGTGAAAGCTGCAATATTTTGAGCGTGCAATCCTTTGCACGGTCGCGTGTTACTCGCCGTCGTGAGTGTCATTTTCTCCGAACGATTCGCGCTCAGTGGGTAATTGTAAATTATTCTCGTAATTTCTTTGTTCTGATATTTGTACGGCCATTCTATATAGTTCGGCCGGTAAAGAATAATGAAGGTTACCATCATAGCTAATTTCATGTTTTGAAGAATTCATAAATTTTATACATAAACTTAGATAATATTATAGTTCGATTAAAATTTTTTAAAAATGGAAAAAGTTTCCGCTGTGGGAATTACAGTTAGATTTAAAAACCGTTTAGATAGGTTTTTCTTTATACAGGACCAAAAAAGTATAAACAACGTCAAAAACATACATAAACTTGGTAGTCGGTAGGAGAGCTTGCTTAAAAATTAACTTGTACACATGTCACGACGGGACTGTACTTAAGGAGGTGAAGTATCAAATATTTACACGAGCGATCCCTGGACAGTGTTTGAGGCAGGAAAAAGGATAAGAATTCTTGGGGTGAATTTACGACTGCCCCTAAGTATCGACTTTAGTTCGAGTACAATTTATTCATAAGCCGAGTGGATGAATAATTTAATCTAGTGCTAGGCAAATTTATATAATGATCATTGTATTTGAAGCGATTACTTTAAATATTGACATGGAAAGTACATTCTATAAAAGTGGTAACTTTCACCGTAAATGACAATATTGTTTTAGCCATAAAAATTATTGTAGCAGGTAGATAGATTTCACGTTTGAATTATTTTCTAATAAATCAAGGCTCGAGCCTCGGCAACTCCCGACGGGAACTTGTTAATGAAGGTGCAGTATTGCAGTCGACGACCGGCTACCGTAAACCTATTAATTACCGTTGCCTCATCAAACAAGAACGCCCTCGCAATGAGTGTCAAATCGATTTTTTACGACAAAATCCTGGTGAAGGCACTATGTTACTACCTTTTTAAGGGATGGAAAGTTTTATGAAAAGTACTGTTTAATTGTATTTAACATGCAATAGTACGTTTATCATCAACGGTGCATCGTCAATTTTGCCGTAGGTGAGGTAGCAGTCAAGCACTAGTTAGTCACGAATAAACAAAAATGAAAAGTTTCGGCCCTATTCTAAATATGTAACAATATGGCCCCTGACAACAGTTATAACAGCTTATTGCGTATGTTAAATGTTCAACATGTTTCAATGTCACTGCATTTTATAGAGTTTTTGTCCTGTTCATCAACTGGTGCTGACAGAATTTTCTTACCACTCGTCTGTGTTGAAGAATTTCTACTTGAACTTGGCCACAATAATGCAGACCCTATTAAGAAATATGAAACACGGTGGCTCGATTCATGCTCTTTTTGTGTAAGACCCTACACTTAAGTTGTTGGAACAACTGAATGTAAGTCTGTTGCATGCAAGCAAGGGAATTATAATAAACAGTCTGGACCAATTAGTCCACAAATAAACACCGGTTCAATGCGACTATAATAATAACCAAGGACTAAAAGTACGTACATGCGTATTACAATTTGAGTACGTCTTACTCCTCGACTAAGAGCAGATGATATCGGTTTATTTAAATTATAAACATGTATTTTTATATGCAGTTTTGTGTAAAATAATATAACTACTCAATTATGATATATTCATCAATATATTTTTTCTAATTCTTAAGTTTTGTTTAAACAAAGAATTTTATTGCCTACATATATTTTTTTTAATTTTTATCGTACTCGTACAGCACATATGATTTAGGTATTTAATCACATCATTCAATATTTTTACTCGTTCATCGTGTCCGCATAAAAGTTCAAAGGGTTCTCCAATTAAACTCTTCGACGAAGTCGTGGGCGTGTAATTCGAATTGAGGCTTGAATCTGACTTTTGATTATGTCCTTTTTCAGGCTTGAACTTTGGCGACGTCCAGCCGGGCGCACTCACACAAGTGCGTGCGCCGCCGTGCGCGAAGGATAATGAGACTAGTCCATAGGGATTTAAATAATAGGACCCCAGGCTGCGCCCTCCTGTCCGACGGTCGACAGCCACTCCGCCGTGAATCAGGAACACCAGTGTGCTATACGATTCGTGGAAGATAAATATTGTGTCCGAGTGAATATTGACGTCAAACACGGAAATATCGGAGCGGAGAGAATTTATGAGTGATGAAGATAATGTTCTCGAATGTTGTACGAGTGTGCAGTGCAAAATTCCATTCTATTAAAACCATTGGCTCAATTTCTAACATATTCTATTAAATTTAATTTACAGGTATAAGTTTAACATCTTTTTTTGTACTGGGTGCTAGAAATTCGCGGAAATAATACATTTGTTATAAAATCATCAGTTTTCTTTGTATAATTAATCTTTTTTAAAGGTGTTGCGATGTTGTCGCAATTTAGGTCGTTAATATTTATTATTAAGTATAAACCCCTATTGTTAAATTTGTAAAAGTTTTCAAATGTAATATTAAAACTACAAAGGCATGTGGTAGGTACATATATTTTTTCGTAGTTTCAATGTTAATCTAAATAAGCCGTGATAGTTCAGTGACGGGCGCTCGCCTTATTTCAATATACTCGAGCAACCTAATTTTAATCCTCGGTGCCGGCACCAATGAAATTGTCAATTTTGAGTGCTGACTTATCACGTGCTCACTCACCGGTGAAGGAAAATATTGTGAGGAAACCTGCATATTTTCTAAATAATAACAAAAATTATTTCGAAAATTGGGGAAATTGGGGAATTAGGGAATTGGTCCGCCAATCCTGTGGGGCCGTGTGGTTGATTATACCCTTTGTACAGAGCATGTTCTTCGCGCAGCAGTGGGACATGTATAGGCTGTTACTTTACTTTACTTTTGAGATTCAACATTAATCAAGAGTCTCTTTGGCTTTTATACTACTAGTAAAAGATTCTTCTGTTCTTCTTATTGAATACTATCGACCCGCCTCGGCTTCGCACGGGTGCAATGTATTATACATACAAACCTTCCTCTTTAATCACTCAATCCAGTAAAAAAACCGCATCAAGATCCGTTGCGCAGTTTTAAAGATCTAACCATACATAGGGACAGGCGGACAGCGGGACCACTTTGCTTTATACTATGTAGTGAGGCGTCCACAACTACACCCGGCACGGCCGCCAGGGCACTGGAGCGGTAAGGTCTTGTGTACACGAGTGACCACTGTGACGCAACGTGCGGCCGTGACACCGTCTTTGCCGTTCGTCGTCAATGCGTGACACCGATGACATATCACTTGCCCGTCATACCTCTTGTTTCCTATCAGCTAAGATGAATGTGTGCGATAATGATAAGTAGTCTAGAGCAGTCTTCAGGCTGAGTCACACATGCATATCGTACATGACGTGATTTGACTGTAATATAAGACCGCACTGTTGTTGACGTCTTGGCGCTTCTTTTCAAGGCTGGTTTAATGGTAGTGATGGTAGAGTTGGATTATCAAAATAGATTGTAACAAGGCCAAATTGAATAAATAAGTTTAGACTTCGATATTAAGTAATGCATTTATGCATATAAAATTGGCTTCGTTTTCCTTAATGTATACTATAAATTTAACCTGACGAATAAAGTCTTTTATTTGTCTAAAAATTTATCCTGAGACGATTAGCCCGTGAAGGAAGTACTTAGCCTTATTATTTTGTATCATTTTTAAAACATCTTGTAATTTAGAACAATATATGTAGACAAAGTCCAAAATTTTTTCCCATTTTATGTTACATTAACACAAAATTATCAATTCTCTCTAGCCGACGAGTGGCAACAGTAGTCAACCAGTTTAAATTTTGTTATCAAATATTAAGTCAACAAACGAACATGGCAATTGGCCCTAATATCTGATCACTTCAAATTATCACTTATCGTCATTTGCTTATGCTTGGTCTGAGATAGTATGCTTAATAAATTTGTGTTATCGTATGACTTACTTATGTAATTCTATACATTTTGAATGGTGACTCCTGAATTCTCTGTTATGGTCTAATAACAAAATACGTTGATTTAAAATTATTATACATTATAACGTTTCATCATAAATTTGTAGTTGTCATTTATCCCTATTCAATAATATATTGCTCGTAAATGCTAATGTATCATAGTTTTAAACGTTTTAAAGGGCCAGTATATGTATTTTATTTTCCTTCCGACCCACAAAGCGCGCACTGACTTGAAAAAGTTTAATCTAGCGCCCACAGTATGAAGAATAAAATGTAATTTAATACCTTCAAAAGGAAGGAATAAATCGCTTCAATCCTATGGCATAATTAACAACAGATTTTGCCATCTTATCCATGTCAACGCCACTAACATTAACACAACAAAATGAAGACATGTGTAGAATAGAAGTAGATTTTTTTTGGAGTAAGCGTCTGACTCCCAATCTTAAGGTTGGTGACGCAACTGCAACCTAGTGTTGTATAAGTCAAATGCATTTGGTGAACAACATGCTTTTTCGCCACCTTCTCAAAAATTATTTTAAACAGGCCGTTATGTGTAAGAGATAGAGAAGGGACGGAAGCTAGTCGAAGCGTTTATCGCAACGACGACGGGTCCGCTATCGCAGGAAGCAGTGCTACAGCACTGGGCCACGGGCCTGTTTATTTAACGAGATACGTACGTATGTGTTACCGTTATAATACGGCTGAATACAATATCTCCCGTAGAGCATTCGATAGACGTTCATACTAGAATGTAGTACACAATAAGTAAGAAGTTTTTGATTTTGTTTCGATACAAATGAAAAGAAAATATTCAATAGCGTATGATATATTATTATTGTCCGGGTGCTCGCTTTTAATTCAATATAGATATGTGATGTCACTTTTACTGTTCTTTATTCAGTAGGTGTATAAAGTCATATTATATGCAGATGATAAAATTACCATACATTTTCATAGCGTGAATCAAATAGGTGGGAAGCGTACAGGAGATGAATTTGACAAGTGCATTTAAATTCGATCACGCGCGGCTGAGCTGACGCACATTAACATCATTTATGATCTTTCAGCTCTCGTCAGACGTTATCCAGTCATCCATTGCGATGGTCTACTGACCTCAATTACAACATTGAATTGTGAAACGTAAGGATCCGTGCCGTGCTTTAATTGTCTCACGAGTGTTTCGCTCTATTAATAATCTGTGGCTACCAGTGAAACGGGGCAGGAGCATCGCGTACTGAGGTCAGAGGCAGCCACAATAACTTCCATGATTTATAATAAACGAGCGGCCCGTATCGCGCTTATCGCCCGACCCGTCAGGTTCTTCACCCCTGTCCGAGTACAACACGTGTCCTGTCGAGACGAACTCGGCACGGCCCTCCTTTCTATAAAAATTTTAGTGCTTTTATTAGTATTTAGTTTCGAGTTTGATTACTCGACGCTGACTTTTAAACATTAGAAAATCGGTAATTCGTTACTGTATAATTTTCTTCTTTAATTAAATAAATGTCCGTTGTGTCCCTTCTCCTGCACCTAAAAAACCTAAGTATTTGAAGCCAATTCGGTAGCAGTGGATGTGGCCAAATACTGGTCGGAAGAAATTTAATTAGCTATTTTGACTCGAAAAGAAGAAGAATAAATAAACTTAAAAAGTTATATTATGGATATTTTTAGATCTTAATTTAAAAGGACTGACAACTCAGCTCATTACATAAGGATTACACTGAATACACTAGAGGATGATACTATACCTACATGTGGATGATATGCAAAAGTATACTTTAACTGCATGTCGGGATTCTGTGAGTCTGCCACGGGAAAGCTCTCGTTCAAGAGACCGTGCATTAGTAGCTGCTACGTGTGCTGTTCTTATTTTACAACAATAAAATACCAAATTCTTCAATCTGAACATATTCAGATTTGCTAGTATAGACAGATTGAATATGTAACTCCTTCCTACTGTAACGTTATCGCTTCGTGGATACACTTCAATAATTTATTTAGTCTGATATTTGTTAAAAAATTGAAATGAAAAACATGTTAGAAAATCATTAAAACAATTATGATATGCCCTTTTGAATGAATCATATTACTGAGAGCGTTAAACGTGGCGGTTGTCACTGCAACTGATGCCACACGCTGATTTATACGTTTCCCGCAAAAGCAACAATAACAAAAGAGTGATTTACGACAGTTACTATAGCACGCACCGATATTCTTATCTAACAAGTGATTGATGCTTTCTTGATAAGTGTGATACGCATTTATGCAGAATATGACAGGTCAGAAGTCATTATATATATCAGTCAAACAGTGAAGAGGTCGTGTTAGGTTATCTACTATTGGAGATGTTAAGGAACGTAATATCATTACATTTATATAAGGTTCTAATAATTTCTGTAGTATAACTTGAAGAATCTAGACACGAATAAATGTGAAGCAACATAGATGGTGATATATTTCACTTAATAAGCCAATTAACGTAGAGACCGACAGGTGGTCCGAATAATTCCGCAAATTGTGTGGCTTTAACAACTTTGAAACGTCAAAGTAGCTAGTAGCTTTATAGGCTTCTGATGCAAGCTGGTTGTTTTCGAATTTAACAGACGACAGATGTGTAATATATGTCTATAGACCCCGGTTTTCTTATATGTAATACATTTATTAGCAGGCAGTAAGCTCATTAATTGTTCGGCAAATTTTATACTAAATAAATGTCTAATATTGTGTCCACTAAGACTAATTGTATCTTAACACTATTAGTTTATTTTCTTTGTGTACTATTGGATAGTACGCTGAAGAAACAGCCTTGAAACCAGCTAAAGTTGAAGTGGCCAATTGAATAGCTGTAACAATATTCACTTCTTTAGACATTCCGCACGCTTGCGCTGCGTGCTCGACGCGACGTGCACTGCTTCGTTAATTTGACCATATCATTGTTAGCTGTCAAGCAAGACCTCCGTTGCATGAATCCTTTCAACAGACACTTAAAACTTAGGGCAAAGATAAATTTAACTTAGCTAATTTAAGCCGGCGCTACACCTTTGACGTCACCTTTCAAGTCTTTGGGAACAAGAGCAACAAGGGAGCTCAATTATGTAGTGCATGTTATTCTAATATGATCTCGTTTAAACGAGGTGGGCAAAATCCTAATAGAGTACAAGCACGGTAAGTATATATAATGTCTACCGACGTATATATAATGTCTACGAACTACGTATACCACTTTTCTCTAAAGACGTGATATCGCATAAATGAAGAATAGTAACAGTCTAAGGTGACTTGCTGTATGTCCTCTTTGTCACCATCAAATGCATCTAAATTTGATATGTGTTGGAAACATATACAAATCAACCACAAAATAAAAAAGTTAAATTAACTTTTTCATAAATTGTTATGAGCGCGTAATTTTATGATAAGATTAGTAACGTTATAGTTGTGAGGTTATAAATAGATTATAAGAACGTTGACCGCTGTTCTTCGACGCGCCCTTATACTCGATTATGCTTTGTCAAGATTAGGAATGAGGATATCGTTACTATACGTCAAAATGTTCAGATTTTAAAGAATCGCTATATTTCGAAAGTTTACTGCGAATGTGGAAGGTACGAAATGATGGACGGGTGGTGCTTTATGCGTAAGCGCATCGGTCGACTCCCGACCCGAAGGCGTGGACGCGGACGAATGATTCAGTCTATGTGACGTCACCAACAGGGCGCGTCCGCCTTCCACAATGTTCCATCAGCTCGGCTCGTTGCAATCGTTCTCCACAGCTGAATAAATAACGATAACTGAACTATTTTTATACACATAATGCCATTAAGATAGTTAAAACTATTCAAGCCCGTTGATAAGACCTTGAGGGCTGCGCGTTTTCAAGTATTAACTGTATTACCATTACTCTCAACTCAGTGTATTGCAATAATTAGTAACATGAAGTGAGATTTCCTAAAACCTTGGAGGTGAATTATTGAAATTATAATGTTGGTAATGAGGAGTGACCTTTCAACATCCGACCCAGATGTTAATTATATTGCCTGTGGTATTGTATTTTATCAAACATGCATGGTACGAAATTGAAACATTGGTTGTTTTTTATTAAAAGTGTGTTGTTGATTAACAATATACGTAATTGGTTATCAGATGATAAAAGTGACACGATAATTGGCAGTGTATACATAACGTTGATTATTATTAGAAGTATTTCTAAAGTTGCCTTATTTCGTGGTTTACTAACGCCATCTATACGTGAGTTAATGACTTATTGACATTGAAATATTACACACATAGTAATATATAGACTTAATAAATTTTTATGTTATTTTTTTGGAAATATTTTGTTTCTTTATAAAACTGAGAAATATCTCAAAAGTTTCAGAATACATAACATTGAGTTAGATATTCATAGAGGTAACTTATTTATCTCCCTGTGCGTAAAAATTATCCTCAAACATTTTTGTCTGCGTAGGCACGAGAGTAAGACATTGTTTAAAACTCGCAGAGCTACTTTTCGACGATCATCTGTTATGATTATCGTCTTGGGATTATCATTTAGTATTCAATTCACTTTGAATGTTTATATAAATCACAAACACAGCGATTGTTTTCCCTTACAATTATTCTACATCTGACGCATAGCACAGCGCCAAAGACGTTTGAAGTCGTCATTAAATCTCTGTCACTTAAGATAACTGAGGCAATTACATACGCGTGAGTAGAGATGATAAATTTTAAGTTAAATGTAAACATGCTAATGTTCTGAAGAATGTCTTTATAAGTAAAGCCGTTATTCTGTTCAATACTATAATTGAGCTTGGCAATAACATGCAGTCGGAATGTGGGTATAACGAGATGAATCCTTTTAGTTCCGCACTTGTGAATTGAAATAATTTGCCAAACGAGACTGGCGATATGAGAGGTATCAAATTGCTGCCTTTATACTGTAAACTCATTACTTGTCTGACTGCACGTGGCCGTTGGCACGCGTCACTGGGCGTCCTGCCAAGTGAACGGGCGACGAGTGTATTACGTTCGCTCCGAGTGCGCTGCAGCGTTAACTCCATACTCGTCCCTTTTCTATTCTATGAAATAGACAAGAAGAGCGAATCACACGAGACGGGAGTTAATAATATAGCCTCCATAGTACGGTGCGGCGACACCACGACTGATCGGGTGCTCGTTTCCCCGACGGCGTGCTCACCCTCCCTCTGTCGCGGACAAAAGAGAGTAAAAGTTCTTTTTTTTGTTTTAGTCCACAATGGAATTCGTTGCGGGCTCTTCAAGTATGTTAGTCCAAATAAACTGCTCTGTGTGCGACACAAAAGCATAGTTAATAAGTTCGCCATTCCCATTGAATCGAGTGTGGAACGTAAAATTTTCATCACGGTCTCTCCAGGCAGTAGGTAGCTAGTATAGATGTATAATACGAAATTTTAAAAATATCTTGGTTATTTGGTTAATTTATGAAGGAACATAACGATGAACGGGCGTCTAGTTCCTTGACATAACGTAATTTCCGTGGTTACATTGACAGTTCCTTTTTATGAGTAATAATTATGCATCATATGCATTTCAGTGTTTCGAAGTTTACTTTTGAGCGATTATCACTCTAGCAGTAATCGACTATCCCTGGAACTGGGGACGATAAGAAACGCCATGAATTGCGGAAGTAATTTTGCTGTCCTCGAGATTGATTTGCCGTTGTGTTGTGTTAACTTAACGATGAAGACATGGGGAGGAGATGAGATTGATGATGGAAATAGTATATTATTGATCCAATAGTCTTGTAGGTTCTAATAATATTTATTCATTTGCCTCCTTTTGTTAATTCTTAAACTGATGATGAAGAGGAATGTTTCATAAGAAAACTTTACTAGTTTGATGTTATTTCGTTAGTAGTATCCTAATTATCGAAAGTGCAGAATGTCGAAATTAAATGTCTAGCAATTATCATCATTGCACTACGATATTTAAGGTGCAAAAATATATTCGTCACAATTACGGCTTTTTGATTAATAATTCAATTTAGAGTCCTGTTGCGACAATTTTCTTTCGGTGTTTTATAGCTTACATTTTGTTGAGAGCGGGGGTAAATTGTTTATAATTACTTCATTTACTGACTTAATACGTTTACCAACTAACACCATCACATTTTAAGATTAACAGGGGAGGCAGTCAGGTACTAAACAATAATTTGTATGATCGATACTGATTTATTGTATTTACGCGATATTTCATCATACAATTCTTTTACGGATCTTTATCGCGTTTTGTTAAATCTCGATCAAGAATTCGAACATTTTACAGCGTCCATCCGTAGATACGGGGCAGACCCGAGATAAACCGTAAAATAACTATAAGTATAATCGACAGTAAATATCGAATG